TTTTTTTCTTCATATATGTATAGGCTCTATAAGGTTTTTGAAACTGAAATGTTTTTTTTTTTCTTCATATATGTATAGGCTCTATAAGGTTTTTGAAACTGAAATGATTCTTTTTTTCTTCATATATGTATAGGCTCTATAAGGTTTTTGAAACTGTAATGATTCACTAGTTGGATTATTAGTTGAATTGATGTTTACTAATATTTTCAAACATTATATATAACTTTAAAAAATGATCACTGAATTGGTCAGCTGACCGGCTCCCAGTCCAACCAATCAGTCCAACTAATTCGATTTATTTTGTGAAACCATAACTGAGAGCCGACAATTTCAAACTCTACCTGTGTACAATTCGTCTCAAAATCAATATCGAGGTCTTGAATTTTCATTTTGTAGGCTTGAAAAAAAAGCTATTCTAATCGGTCAATTGTGCAAGTTGGTTAGAATGACTGGATCATCCGATCATCCAACCCAACTGGTAACTTATAATATTGGTTGAACTTGATCTTTATAAAATTCCCCGAGCAATTTTTGGCCGGACACGACTTCACTCTCGGCCTTAGTCCGGGGGTTAAGTCTGTGTGTCGGTAAATTAGAATTAATTTTTAATAAATTTAATATTTTATAGTTTCAAATGATTCGAAAGGGGAGCTAAACTACATTGCAACTTAATTAGATTGTGATTCCCCCTAAAAAACAAAACAATGGATGGTGTTCAATGAGAATGATATTTTCTCCATTGGAGGCTGTAGACTTTTCTAGTCTCTCAAGATGAAAGCTCACATTGGGGTCATGTCATACTGAGTAATGGTAATGGGCCTATGCACGTCCGTCTTGAAAATAAATGTAATGAATTGGTCAATTTTGGATAGAGTTGTGGGCCTGACCATGGGACCCGACGCTAATTATTCTCACGAGGAAAGTATCCAATAAATTCCATTTTTTTTTATTTTTTTTTANGAGTAAAATTATACAATGTTATTCATATATCAATTATCACTAATATAAAAGTTCAATTTAATTTCATTACATAGTTTTATCTACAACATTTTAAATTCCACATTATGTTTACTTGTACATCTGTTTCGTTAGGAATTGATGATCTTTTAAGGCTAAAGGACAAAGATACGTCTTATAGTTAATTTTGTTCACAGAATTGAAGCCATACAAAAGTAACTAAACATCTTCTACCAAAATACATTATCTCTATTTTTAAATTTATTATCTATTTTTTTACCATGTTTTAAATTTATCTTTAGTTTATCTTAAGTTTATTCTCTATTTTTTTACTATATCTTAAGTTTATCTTAAGTTTATTATTATATATTTTTTTAACTATATCACGAAAAACAAACTGATAAACAAATCATANAATACAAATATATTACATACCAATATACAAAGTTACAAACCCCATAAAAACTCATAGAAACTCTTTTTCCATCAACATTCCAAGTACTAATCTTCACAGGAGCCGTCGGATTATTTCTCTGCCTCGGCCCGCCTGGAATTCCACCATCAATTTTTTAGATCTTAAATTCACCAACTGATAGATCTAAAAGATCCATCAGTGAAACGTGCACAACAAAAAAGAAAATTAAAATTTACTAAACCCTAAATCAGTAAACTACACAGTACACATTAAGATTCAAATTTAGTAAATTGCACCTTTCGGACTACCATCCCTCGCGCCCCTGATGAGTTACATGCTGAGCCTCAAGGGTCGGGTGGTGCCGAAGGCTGGAGAAGGAGAGGATCTCAATCGAGGGTGATGTTGCCGACAGTTCCAATGGCTCTGAGGATGCAGGACCCCACCCCCCGGCGGTGCGTGGCGAAGGCGTAGGCGCAGGAGATGATGATGGCCGCCGTCGGGTTTTTCTTTCGACTTTCGAAAACAAAAGAGAGGAATAATGAGAGACGCTCTGATTTGAAAAATGCTAAACGTACATAATAAATATACATAGAGGTATACATAACTTGATTTTTTATTTTGATAGGTCTCACTCGATGTGGTGTTATGTACACACATATGTACAATATTATGTACATATAGCATTTCTCTTCTAATTTTGTTACCTTTTTATTGATTTAATTAAGCAATCAATTGAAATGCTAAAACATGAGGTCAACATTACCTTTTTGGAATACCAAATAATTGATCTCGCATTAGTGGATAAAAGTATTTAGACTCGTGAAGTAAAATATAATAAGATAAGATTTGGAATAGGAGGTAATTTATTCATCTTTTAACAATACATTCACAACTCTAATATTTTTTTATTCTGTAAGTTATTATACCGCCTTTAGACAATCTCTAGTCCTTATCTCTACTCTAGCGCGAAGTTTACTCTACTCTAGAGTAAAGTCAAACAAAATTCCAATTTCATCTCCAACCCTTCGCTCCACATTTGCTCTACATCAAATATATTATTTATTTATTTATTTTTATTTCAAATAAATTGTTATATATTTTCATTTGTGTATTTTTATTTTATGATTTACGTGTGTTGTTCGACCCAATGAAATCTTCTTATTTGATCGTGTTAAATTTTTATTTATATGTATCATTTTAATATTAAAAAATTACAAAATAAAATTATAATTCATTAATAAATAAAAAACACATTTAGCATAAAAGATACATTACACAAAGTTATTTAGTGAAAATCTGAAGCAGCGATGGAGTGAATATTTCGGCTACAAAAGAGTAGCGCGACCATTCTAGCACAGCACTGCACTTGCTCTTAGTAATTCCACTTGTTACCTTTAGCATTTGAATTTTTAACTAGAGTATATCCCGTGCGATGCACGGAAGAGTTCATATTTTAAACATTTTTTAGACTTTATTTTAAATATAATTATTTATATTTTTCACATCTCGTCTATTATGAAAATAAAATAAATACAATCAATGAAAAATATATAATATTAAATACTTTTTTTTATACAATATTTTTTATTTAAGGTATATTATTAAACCTTACGGTTTTGATTTATTTTTTTAAATCAATAATCTAAAATATATGATTGTTAACGTACAAAAAATAATGGAAATAATCCAGACTTTAAAGTAAAGCTATTTTTTATTATTTTACAAATAAAAATCTTCCAATTTTTTTTTAATTTCAAAAAAAATTTGGCAAGTTTGATAATGAGTTAAATCAAGTTATACAAATGATTAAATAGTTAAAATGTTATATTAATTATATTTTAAGAAATCCGATTATATAAAAATGGGTAAAAAAATATTATACTAATTAGTTTGTTAGGATTGTGATTATATGGAAGTTAAAATAAAATGAAATGTAACCAAAAAATTTGTTCGTGGTTTTTTCCTAAATGTTTGAATTTAAAAATCTAGTAACCAAATTTACATTATATCACGTAAGGAAAAAAATAAATAATAAATATTTATTAAAGAGATAAATCAATAATATTTATCACTTAGATAATAAATAATAAATATTTACATGTAAAAAAGTAAATAATAATATATTTAAAAATATAAGTCAAAATTTCAAATAAAGTAAAAGGAGGGATAACTCATTTTTTAAAAAAAGTTTCTAAATATTTAATATATTGATAAGTATCTCCATAAGAATAATCATGCCATTTTAATTTTAAAAAAATTGGCAAGTTTGTTAGAGAGATAAATCCGGTTAGACAAATGATTAATTTGTTAAGATATTATATTAATTGTATCATAAAAAATCGGTTAGATAATGTAGATAAAAAAATATAATACAACCAAGATAAAATAAAATTTACCCAAAAAAATTGTTTGGAATCTTTTCCTTTAAATGTTTGAATTTACAAATTTAATGCCGAAATTCTATTATATCACATAAGGAAAAAATAAATAATAAATGTTTATTAATATATTAAAATATATAATTTTGAATTTCATATAAAGTAAAAAGTATGCTTATTCAAATTTATTTTTAAAATAAGAGTTATGATAAATATTTATTGATTCTCTTTCAAATATATTAATAAAATAAAAATATAAATCTAAACAAATTTTGAAACAACCAAAAAAATCGGATTGATTGGCATAAAAAAAGGAAGTGAAATCAGATTTGAATGCTAAAATCGGAACACCTTACCAAATTGAATGCTAAAAGATTCGATTTGATTGGTTACCTAATTGCATGGGCTGAAAAAATTCAAAAAAAAATTTTACGAATTGAAGAAGCGGGAAAACGAAATGATTATTTTCGGATTGTTCAAATAATTTTTCTTCTCCGTATTATATAGTAATAGATTAATAGATATTTATGTTCAAATATTAATAGTTAATGCATAGTTTTTTATCTACTTGCCGTTTTCGATCCTGAAATACGTATAATCTATATTTTGAATTGTATTATATTATGTATTTTAAAAATTATAAAATAGCTTAATAACTTAATTTACAACTACAAATGAATTCCTTACTGCTAGAGTTTCTAAACAAACTCGAGTTCCACTCCCAACTTATTTTTGTAAAAAATCATTTGGTTAATAGAGTTGAATTACTTGTTTGATAAACGGGTCAAGATCGAACTTATTTAATTAACGAGTCCAACTCAACTACCAACTCGTTTAGTTACGAGCCACTAGAAAGTAAGAATTTTTATATAATATTATGTATTTAGCCTTCTTATGGCTCATGTTCGGCTCCAGCTTCAGCTCGAGCTTGATTACATATAAGTTTTATTGACGAGTCAAGTGTGGTCCGATCGGCTTGTTTACATCTTTATTATTTGGTATATATCTATATTTTCTTCAACTATATATCAAATTAATTATTATTTTTATTTGATGATAAACATATTATTTATACAAAATTTAAAATATTATCATGGTCTTATTTCACTTGAATAAAAACACTTTTTAAAAAATTATTTCACTAGTAAATTATTATTCTTTGCTTGTAAATTAAGTTGGATTGGGCTAAAAGGGTCTCATCGTCATTGCTTACGATAGGAAGCCCTGATTTTTCTCTAGACAAAGTCGGTTTACACTTACCCGACCAGCATTATATATACAATCTCAACTTCTCCAATCTCCATTAACAAAATCACAATCAACCCATCTCCAATCTCTCCTACCATCCATCTAACCTCCAGCTGTTTTCAGATCCGTTCAAGGTAAATTCTCTTTAGCCCGCTTCGAATTGCTTCTGTTTGATTCGTGATTTCTTTGCCCCTTTTGTGTGTTTATCGTTTACATCTAAGCAGATTTGTTGGTAGGCTTCATCTGATCTCGTTTGTATGTGCAAGTAGATGGATCTGAGTTCGTAGATTTGTTATTCTGATGTTGATTGTTAGGTTTTGTTCGATGTGTTTGGCTGATTGAATTCGTCCTTGCGTTTGGTCGGTGCCGGATTTGATTTATGATAGGTTATTAGTGTGTGCTTGATCTCCATGTTTGAGTGAAGTTATCGTGGTCATACGTTTGGTTTTGGTGATTAGGTGCTAGATCTGTGATTGGAGCTGATCGATAGAACTGAAATTGGATTTCCTGTAAATTTGCGATTCAACTGCGATTTCGGGAAAGTTAGAGCTCAACCTTTGGTTTGACAACAAAAGATTGTAATAAATTTCAGTTTGAAATTAATTTATGAAGTCAGCAAGAAGGGGAACATGTTTTTCATTTGGTTATCCTTGTTAATGCTTGCTGATCGTATAATATACACTATGAATTGGAAGATTTTGATGTTGAGCCTTCATCTATACTTGGTTTTTGATTAGCTCTTGCAGTGGATAATTGCTGATTTTATCTTTTTCTTTGTTTTTTCTGAAACTCAGATGCAGATCTTCGTCAAGACCCTCACCGGAAAGACCATAACCCTTGAGGTCGAGAGCTCCGACACAATTGACAACGTCAAGGCCAAGATCCAGGACAAGGAAGGAATCCCTCCGGACCAGCAAAGGCTGATCTTTGCCGGAAAGCAGCTCGAGGATGGCCGGACTCTAGCTGACTACAACATTCAGAAGGAATCCACTCTCCACCTTGTCCTCAGGCTTCGTGGTGGGATGCAAATATTCGTCAAAACCCTTACCGGGAAAACTATCACCTTGGAAGTCGAAAGCTCTGACACTATTGACAATGTGAAAGCAAAAATCCAGGATAAGGAGGGAATCCCGCCAGATCAACAGAGGTTGATCTTTGCAGGCAAGCAGCTCGAGGATGGGAGGACTCTTGCAGATTACAATATCCAAAAGGAGTCAACTCTTCATCTCGTCTTGCGTTTGAGGGGTGGTATGCAGATTTTTGTGAAGACGCTGACTGGGAAGACGATTACCTTGGAAGTCGAAAGCTCTGACACTATTGACAATGTGAAGGCTAAAATCCAGGATAAGGAGGGAATTCCGCCGGATCAGCAGAGGTTGATCTTTGCCGGAAAGCAGCTGGAAGATGGCCGTACTCTGGCGGATTACAATATCCAGAAGGAATCCACTCTTCACCTTGTTCTTCGTCTTCGTGGAGGTGGTTGTTTCTGATGAGGTTTGGGTGTGTTGATGGGTGATTTTATTGTGTCAAGAACTTACTTATGTGTGCTATTTCCTATGTTATTTTTTTTTTTTTGGGACTAGCCAGCCAATCTTGATTGTGTTGGGACTAGCTTTGCTTGATGATGCTCTCTCTGTGTTTGAATTGTTTTGTGAAATAAAATGATGCTTGTTTATGGAAAGCTATAGTTGAGAGTTTTATGATTGACGCGACTAAGAAGGATCGCTCTTGGTTGAGAATATGTTATTAACGTAGGCGTAATTATTTGAGTAAATTGTAAACTTGGTTGTGCGTTTCGGCCAACTCCACCAACGAGATCAGCATCGCCCACAACCCTTTTGCCATTCATCACAGCCAACAAATCAGCTTTTGGGGAATTCAATTCTAACAACAATTGCAAAAACAAAAATAGTTCAGGCATAAATTTGAACAACAATTCCCATAAAAATTAATTCAGCCTTGATAGGTGAGAACAAATTTGAATTAATCAACAAAACGTTTATACAATTATTTCATAGAAACACATAATCGTGCAACAACACACATACATAGAGATGGTCACCTGCACACATACAAGGTAAGGTAATAAACGAAAAAAGATCGGCCATAGGAAAGGCCCCCGTAAATGGGATGACCTTATTATTATTGATGGGGGACAACAACGATATTGGGCTGGGCCCGGAGTATACCAGCCGGGCTTTGAGCACTTTGAATATAATATTCCCACCGTATATTTGTCCCGCAACCATTATATTTGTCCCCCAACCATTTCATGACTCGGCTAATATTGGGTTGATATTTTCATGGAGAGTTGCCTTCAAAATTGACGGTGGCTTGAGAGTTCATTCTTGGCTTGAATGTGATTCATCTCCAACCAAACTTGTGATATACTAAATAATGACAAAGAAGTAGACACTGTGTGTGACTGATACATGTATATTTCCTAGTTGTCATGTTTGAACGTTCAAATATGAGTTGTGCTGTTGAACATCGTTTATTACAGTAGAGATGGCCCAACTCAATGTTGACTCGTTCACCCTCAAGACAAGTAGTCCTTTGACCCGTCTTACCCATTCAACCTAACCCCCCACTGGGTCCCACCCCACCCCACCCATCTTCCTCAACGTGAGGCCGTCTCATTTCGTCTAACAAACACTATTAAAATCCCCAGCTTCATTTCTCCACTTTCTTCCCCACAAAAACTCCTGGAAGAGCTCCCGGAAGTGGGCCTGCATTGGGAATAATCATAATTTCATCATAATTTTTCTAAAAGAATTCTTTTTATAACGCCATGGGATAAGGAGGCTGTTGATTAATCAAGAATACAAGTAAAGGAAGTGGATAGAGAGAAAAACTACGCTGCAATTTTTTTAATTGAGGACTATGCCGAGGATTATCGTTGAGAGCCAAAAATGGGTATAGGCCAATGCAGTATATGACCTATGGCAAAGTAAACAAGTGTTAATAGAATTTCGTTAAACACGGAAAAATGATAAAAGACAAAAAAAAGGGAAAAAAAGGACAGAGAGAGAGAGAGAGAACAAAAATGCAACTAGTGAGTAACTGATTATAACCTTCTCGTGACATCTTCTTAGTATTTCAAGAGAGATATATGAACCAATGGAAGGCCGACCTTCAGTGTGAAGAATCAAATCATTAGAGAAAAAAAATACATATGTTACATACTTAAAAACAGAGTCTTTAACATTTCAGAATTACAATAACAAAATTATATAAATAAAGAAAAAAAAATTAAAATTGAATGTGCTTTGACAAGTTTCACGAAGTTATCTTTCAGGAAACTAAAATGAAAATAACTAACACCACATCAGTTTGTTGCATATTCGTCCAGCTGCAATAGAAACATTCATCACGCTAAACTGAATTGTTCACATTTTTCTCTCAAACTACACGTTACGTTTAAATAAAATTTCATGAATTGTTGTATCTTTTATTTCCTTTAATTTTCTACTTCTAGATCGAGTCTACCCTTGTGGCAGGCCTAATGTTTGAAGGCTAATACTAAAGTGTCAAATATTCATCAACAATATAGACATCAAGAATTATACCTATGATGACTCAAAATGTAAGCAATGGTGAAAGAGGTGGTGAAAAAAAACCAATTTATGATTAAATATATGTAACTGGTTAAGCATTACTGATCATTGAAAAATGGCAGTTGCGACTTCTAATGTGGTCAAGGCTTACCAGCACTATAGGTACTTCAACAACTCCAAGTTCCTCCTCTATGAAGCTTATCTAGGAAAGAGTAAAAGGCGAAGATAAAGGGGAAAAGGAAAAAGGAGTGAGTCGAAAAATACTACGGAGACAACAAGTTTTGAATTGCAGAGAAGAAACTAGAAACTTGTTCTAACAAACATGGATAAACCATATTTTAGATATTACCACATCATCCAACCTCCTATTTCGACAAGAAAAAATGAAAGTATACATGAATAACATTAGAGGACAGAGAACAATGGCCTTATGCGACATCGCTAATTGCTTCATACGTGATGAAGATGACAAAGTCTCATAAATTCGTATTGGAATAATAATCTAAATCTCCTTCAGTGAGTCCTTTTGCCAAAAATCAAAAGTGCTGCAAAAATTTACCTTATGACTTATTTGTTCTTGTAAAGAGAACAACCTCCCAGATCCCCAGTCCTATCAAAGAAAACAATAGAATATGGAATGACTTTCCATTTGAGATTACATTGAGATCATAGTGCAGTCATTCACAAACTCAATGGAACATATGACAGACATTACAAAGGCTTTGAAAACAAGAATCAACTTTTTACAGATAGCACAAGAAAAAGATAACAATAGTAATAATATTGAAGAAAAAAAAAGTTTCAACATACTACTGGTTCATACCAACTGCCCCATACAATGAAATCACAGACATTCTCTCTAACTCCAAATAAGTAAGATTGGGAAAAGATAAACACTACACAACCGCAATAACACCAATTGCCTTTTCGAACACAAGTCACAAACATTGTCAATGTAGGTGCTTTGCAGATTCAAAAACTGATTCTACACGAAATAAAATATGCTATTATTTGGAAACTGATTGATAGGATACTTTTACGGTGAAACCAACAGCATGCATAAAATAAACAAAACAAGCTTTTAAAACCAGCACAAATTTCAAAATCTAATTTTTATAGTTAACTTATACTTGGATTTTGAATTTATTATGAAGAAGAATATTGAGATAAATATATTGAAACGTCAAAAATAATGTCTCGGCTTAAAATAACAATGATGAAATATTTATTCTCGAATCTCCCTTTGACGACATATTTGTACACATACTTAGATTTATAGCCTTTGACCTTTCATCTCAAATCCTATACCACAGAAATGAATGCATGCTATAGGGGCATAGTTACACATTAGCTTTCCTTGTTCTCTGAATTAAACTCAACTAAAAGTTGGACATAATTACTCCATAGCTTACTTTGGCCACTGAATTAAACACGCCTAATGTTTATAATTAAACATGTACTGCAACCTTACAGGGACGTAGAAACTTGCTCTCAACTATAAACAAATATCAACTTTTAAGTTCTGCTCTGATTAACTCATGGAAATGAGAGTCCCAAAGTTCATTGATTTTCTGTAACCATTAAGAAAAAACAAAAGAAGATGAATACCTGAAGATCAATATTCCATGAAATTCTTAAGATACAACAAGTAGCAGAGACAATAAAAACAACTTTTAGTTATGCAAACATACTAGTCAGAAACTAGAACTAAATTATTTCACACTCAAACAGGTTCCTGGGCTGAATATCTACTATTCTAAAGATTTGCTTTGTTATCAGCAGCTTCTAAGGCGTATATCTACTCTATGGCTAATAATATACTCCAACATACAACTTCACACAACTTCACAGGATAAATAAAGAAAAAGAGCAATCAAAACTGATTTGAATATCATGAAAAGAAAAATTTGAATGTGACCTTATCCATGCGTTCACCGACCTGCCACCAATTCGCACCCACATCAATCGACCATCTTATTTTCTTCATCTCATATCACCTGAACTGCAGCCAATCCAATTACATCTTTGCCAAGTCAGTTTTGCAGCTTGCCATTAATCTCACGAATCAACAGCTCCGAGTTGTCGACCACCACCTTGCTCCCATACACAATCTCTCGAAACAGCTCGTGCTTCGGGGCTGGCCTGAACTGCTTCAACTCGACGAACGGATTAGTGATCACTTTCTGTTCGCATATCTCCTTCGCGGGCAGGACGTGCTTCAGCCAGAAATCGCACAACGCAATCTTGAGAAGTCTCCAGTACTCCTTATCTCGATGGATCCTGAACAGGCTACTCCCATTCACCGTCCACACGTACATATCCATCCAGTCGAGGTCGAGGATCTCCATCAGCCCCTGCGCCTGGGGAATGTAGTGCAGCGGGACCCGCTTCCAAGGAATGGCCTGTTCCATGTTCCCGCCAAAAAACGGGCACTTAACCTCGAGGACCCCGCACATGGGCACGTTGTAGTAGAAGCTTTCGACGGCCCCATCTGGGGAGGCTGCCAGCCAGCTGTCGTCGTTTGAGTTGTGAACCTGGAACTCGGGATACGTGACAGCGTTGTCGGTTATAAGCTTGTACCTCTCGAGGGCCTCCTCCTCCTTGATGTTGCTCCAGCAAGTGGCCAGGTTGCCCGTGAAGGGTTCGATGGCCCCGAGCTTTTCGAGCCAGAGGCGGGCCCGCCCGCGAGGCCACATGCCGATGGCCAAGGAGAAAGTGCTTGCCGTCAGCTTGTTCTGCCGCAGGTGCTGCCAGTTCTTGAACCAGTGTTGTAGCCCGCTGGATTGGAGAATGGGATGCGTCTCGTTGGTGTAGATCGAGCATGGGCCGCTACTGTAACTCCTCCGGCTGCCACTTTTGCTGGAATGTAAGTGTCCGAAAGAAGAAGTAATTGGAAGCTTCAAACTATTCTTGACTGCGTGTGAACAAAGACTTTTGGCAAATTACATGGCTAAACAAATAATAGCATTAAAAATTAGTTTAAGAAAAGGTAATAATACGACTTTTGAGTTTTGACAAACCTTTTGCAACACAAGATTGATGGCCATCTGCGACGAGGCTTAAAATTGTCATTGACACTTCTGCAACTCGACAATGTGCTTTTTGATCATTTTATTGACGAGATTCTCAGTGAACACAGAAATTTCATCGAATAGGTCCCGGTGCAGTTGCATGTTGCATTGCATGAAGAAGAAAATCCGATAATATTTGAGCCACTTCAAAACTCCCTGAATCTTTCAACATGTCCAACATTGAAAAAAATTACAAATTGGGGCATCCAGTCAAAACATGAAAAGTGAAGAATAGAAGCAGCTTGCACTTCAGAATCACAAACAAGAACCACACAAAAAGAAAGAAATATTTTTTTTTTCTGAAAATATAGAAATTGGACTGACTCTTGACATTATGGAAAGAAAAAACGTATGGACCTATAAGTTTTAGGAGACTCCAAAAACAAATGATTATGCTAAAAGGATGAAAACAGGGCAAAACCAAACAGTGTTGCCTCTGCAAAATGGAAAAGCATAGCAGTGCGCCGCTGCAATTTTTAAAGACACCTTCAACTAGAAAACTTATATTGAACTGATGAAAATACCAAGATATGCAGACTCCAAACACCACCGAGCATGTGAACCGGATGAAAATGATCCAAACAAAAGAACACAAGTTCAAATCATAATTTATAACCAAAGTACCAAACTAATCACCATCACCATCACCATCATGTTCATCAATAGCCTTGTTCCATGGCTTCCATCCGGTAGAAGAAAATTGATAAAAAAGATTGAAAACTAACGAAACAAAGAATGAACCAAAGTGCTGACAGAAAGCGTTAACATGATAATCCATGGCTAATTTTATCCAAATTTTTCAATGTGCTGTCCACCATGGCAATGCTTTGCCATATTTAATCATTAGAATCACGTGTTCTTAACTGCATACATGAAGAGGATTTTTTTNGTGGATAAATTAAGAACTAAGAATTAAGAAATTATTTTCTTTACAATTGTAAATATCTAAATCTCCCAAAATAAGAAGCTATGACAAATGCTATACATCATTCTACAGCTCCTCAATCGATCGAACGTGTCAAGAGAAGAAAGTTCCTCACATAATCACATAAAATTTCTGGATAAGTGAAAAGAATGAATATTCCAAACCACACAGTAGAGGTGTGACCAAACCCACCTGAGACTAACATCAAGCTCGAGTCTTTGATGAAGCTTGAGTTCTGAGAAGACTGCTCCGACGAAGAAGACGCAATCGTCGAGGCCGAGCCATTTTAACGTCGGAGTTCGGACTGTCGGAGGCTACAACCGTGTGAACTGTGGACTGTGGAGGATTGGAGGCCGAAGAAGAAGTGAGAGAGAGATGGATTTGAGTTTATCGTCGGAGCAAGACGATCGGCCGGCGAGGGATGGAGGGAATAGCAGATTAGGGAGAGATGAAGAAGTCGCGACAAAATAGCAGATTAGGGATTTTAGGATTTTAAAATTTTTTTGGGTATTTTTTAATTTTTTTTAATTAATTTATTTTGGATTGGGCCAAAGGAATAGAATACTTATACTTTTTTGGACCAATTTGTGTAAAAAAAAATCAAAAGAAACAGCCCAGGTGCATAAACGCAACCCAATTTTAAAATCTGGTTCATTTTTTAAGTTTTGCACAGAATTGATCAAAGTCGTAGAATCAGATTTGACCAATTCTACCGATTATGCAGCGACTCTACATTCCTTTGCGATTTTGAGCGACTTAGAATCGATTTTGTGACTTTGAGTCGTAGAATCGGCGATTCTACGACTGAAATTCGCGATTTTGATAACCTTGATCCAATACCCTCAACAAAGACTAAAAAAGGATGAGGAAATGAGAAAAGAAAATAAGAAGACTGAGAGAGTGAGATTGACCTAAATTGTGAAACCCGCGGAAAGACGACCGCCGGAGGGTGAGAGACTGAGAGCGGGGTCGATAGCGCCGGTGGTTCGACGGTGAGAGAAGGGTTGAGAGTGCCGGAGGGTACTAAGCAACCAACGGCAAGCGTGGTTAAGAGCGTTGGACTCTTGGAGGCGGAGGGTGAACTAGAGTGAACACAGGATGCAGCTGCGGGAGCTTGAGAGAGAGCCTAAGAGTGAAAATTGAAAATTGAAAACTGAAAAGCGTGTCTCACTCTCATAACAACACTGCATATGTATGTAAGTAATAACATGACACTTTTATTATATTCGGTGCGGTTCGATTAAAAACCGCACCCTTCGGACACAAAATTGAACCGCATCGAACTTTTTTCAATTTTTTAAAAACCAGACCGCACCGTAACCGAACTCTATAAAAACGAACCGAACTGCACCGAATACATCGATTCAGCTCGATTTTTCAGTTTCGACTCGATTTTGCTCACCCATAGTTACCAGTGAGCATTGTCTCAGATAGAGACAGGGTGTTCACTAGTGTATTCTCGAAGGAATTGTTTAAAATTTTAGGGGTTCAACTGAATATGACTTCTTCTTATCATCCACGATCAGATGGTTAGACTGAAAGATAAAACCAATGCCTTGAAAAATATTTAAGAGGCATGGCCCACTCCAATCCCAGACAATGGATGAAATGGCTTTCCTTGGCTGGGTAATTTATAACAACACATCTTATAAAGACTCTTACTTACCAAAATAGCGAGTATGTCATCCTAACAGAATAGGAATCACCTCTTGCTAAATCAAATAAATAAGTAATAAATATATATATATATATGCCCATTTTATATTACCTTGCAGTTTAAGAGACGCATCAATCACTGAAGGTCTATATTATAACAACGATCAGTAAATCTTATAATCTTATCCTTCGGCAGTCCGTTCAATACTTATCATAAGTACTAGTGTAATTCATCAGTCAAAGATCAACTGAATTAAGACTACACTATAGTCTTTATCCTGGATACAGAGTTCTCACTGCTTGTCTAAAACTGTGACATTAAATTTATATTTTACAAGGAACCGATAATATGATCTTTCTGCTCGACACGATGAAACACATTATTTACAATGTAAAATAATGGAGTTATCGTTGCATAAATAAATAAATTACAAACATAAATACTTTGACTAAAACACGATTGCCAGATCAAAATGGAATTGTTTATATCTGAAAGTCAAACTTTTACAATATATCTAACATTTAGCAACGTCCACAACTCTTTCACCATTCACCACGACCAAGAAATGAAGAAATCATCGTTTGTGAAACTCAATTCTAATAATAGTTTCAAAAACAAAATAGTTCAGCTTAGATAGTTGGGTATAAATTTGAACAACAATTCCAATAAAAATTAATTCAGCCTACATAGATGAGCAGATGAGCAGAAATTTTAATTAATCAACAAATTTTTTACACAATTATTTCATCAAATTAGAAGGAGATCTTGGCGACTGAAAATTAAGGGCAAGATTAAACACTTTATATGGAAGTGTTTCACAGATATTTTACTTGTCAATCTGAACCTGGGGAGAAAAGGTATTATGTTGGACACTGTTTGTGCTTGTTGTGGAGAGCAAGAGAAATCCACTGCACATCTTTTCTGGGGAAGTAGAAGGGCACAGAGAACTCGGGAGCTGGCGCCAGTACAATGCAGATTGTGCAGGGGGATCAACGAACCTTCATTACCTGGTGGTCGAACTTATGCAGCCTAAAGCACAAAGCCATCAATGAATATATGATCTAGTTATTGACGTATTTATTATGGTGGTTGTGGAAATTCCACAACCTTTGGGTATTTCAGAAAGTGTGGATGCCGGAACATAATGTCGTGCAGAATGCTGTCCAGGAGTGGATGGAATTCAGCTCGATAACATCTTAGCGGTTTGTGGTTTGCAGTGGAGGGTGCCCCCTGTGCTGCTTGAGGATGGCTGTTGGAACTGGGTTTTTATTACTGTTTTTACGCATGTGTCTGTGATTTGTTTTTTATGCTTGTAGCTTATTTTGGTCTGGTTTTTGGTACTGAAGAGTTCAATTTTTTTAGTTAACTTTGGTTGATAGTTTGTTACAGTCAGGGGTCTAGCCGTCTAGGCCATCTCAAAATGGTTCTCTCATATTGCCCGGCTAGTGATAGATTAGGTGTGCTGTATTATTATGAACTATGTATCAGAATTGAGTTAATGAATTGCCTTTCGCCTGAGAAAAAAAAAATATTTTATAGAAACACATAACCGTGCACAACACACATACAGACATGTATAGAGATGGACACTCGCACACATACGCCAAAGGGAAGGTAATAAACGAAAAAGACCGGCCATAGGGAAGGGACCCGTAAATCGGAAGTGCTCCAGGCCGGATGAAATTTGAGGGATATTATTGAAAGGAGACATCAACAATATTGGCCCGGGCCCGGATTATACCAGTTGAAACACCCTGCCGGGCTTTTAGCATTTCTAATGTAATATCTTCACCCTGCCGGGCTTTTAGCATTTCTAATGTAATATCTTCACCGTACATTTGTCCGGTGGCCGTTTAAGGAGACTACTAATCTCGGGATTGATGTTTCCGTGAGGAATTGCCTCCAAAATTTGATGGTGAGAGACCATTCTTTGCTTAAATGTGATCCATCTCCAACTAAACATGGGATATACTAAATAACGACAAAAAATTAGGACACTATGTATGTGACTAGGTGTGTGATGTTTGAAACGTTCAAGTTTAAATATGCGTTCTGCTGTTAAAACTTAAAACATTATTTGTTACTGTATAGATGGCCCAATTCAAAGTGCGTTGGCCCACAGAGAAGAGTGTCTCTTACTTGTATTGTTTGTCCTATGTGTGACTGACCCATTTAGGTATTTGTAGCCCACAAAACACAGTTGAAGCATAGTGTTATTTGGATGCTAGCCATTAATATAAAATGCGGATTGGACCTCATTTGAGGGTTTGACCAGTCAAATTCTTTAATTAACAAGTTTGCTTAAAAGCTTATTTCATTAGCTTTTTGAGCTCGGAATGTTAATTCTGAAAAGGCTCAATATGTAAGTGTTTTGAGAAGAGCGGATCGTAGAATATTTTATTAACATAAAGTTTCTAAAATCATTATACGATCACGTTAATACAATTTGCTATTCACTATCAACAAATTGTCAAACAATTCATGATTTGGGATGTGATATTTATCGTGATTTTTTATTGAATTGTGATTTCATATGAGATGTTTCCGGAAACATGAGAATGCTTATCGTGTGATTGATCAACTTTTTTTTTTGAAACGATATTATTAGAAAAAAGTCAAAAATACAAATATACAAACTAACATACAACTAATAAGCCGAATAATGCAGTCACATGATTAATCAACTTAACAATTTATATTTTCACACGAAATACTTTCACTTCTACTAATTTCGTGGAAATATATTATTTTCAAATCGTACATTTTTATGATGACATATTTCACCACCATCCAACCACAAAATCGTAACAATTGATCAAATCCAATTATTGCGTTGTTACACTTCATATATTATAATCTCATATTTAATAAGATGGTAAAAAATATCAACAATTTCTCTATAAAAGCTCCACATCTTTTAGATCACAGTTTTCCCTTTGAACATGGTTCCGAATTCGATCTCCGATCACATACAATAGTATTAGATACTCTAAGTCTCAACGTAAACACTCCGACATTCAAATAAAAAAAAAGTACTAAGTAATAAATTCATATTACAACCGTGTGTTAGGACTTTAAATAACACCTTAGACCTATTTTATATCCAATTTCTACCGTGCTCTCTAATAAATTGATTTCAAAATGGACTAATGTAAGATATGCAATGTCATTTTCAATGGTTTTATGCTTGTTAGGATGAAAGTTCCTTCCTTAATCCCATTTTGAAAAAAAAATAAAAATATATATATATATGTGTGTGTAAAATATCAAAAAGCCGTGTCAGTTGACTCGTTCACCCTCAAGACAAGTAGTCCTTTGACCCGTCTTACCCATTCAACCGAACCCCCCACTGGGCCCCACACCCATCTTCCTCAACGAGAGGCCGTCTCATTTAGTCTAACAAACACTATTAAAATCCCCAGCTTCATTTCTCCACTTTCTTCCCCAGAAAAACCCCTCTGCAAATATCTCACGCGTCTAACCGTCTAACCGAATCCATATACAAACACAGAAACACATATCCCCCAAATCAAAAAAACCCTAACTAGCAGACAACAAAATGAACGATCTATTCTCAGGATCCTTCTCCCGCTTCCGCAACCACGGCGGCGACCAGTCCCCGCCGCCGCCGGACTCCCACAGCATCGAGATGACCACCGGCGGCGTCAACCTCGATCGCTTCTTCGCCGACGTCGAGTCCGTCAAAGACGACCTCCGCGACCTCGAGTCCCTCCACGCCCAACTCCTCTCCGCCCACGACCAGAGCAAAACCCTCCACGACGCCAGATCTGTCCGAGACCTCCGCTCCCGCATGGACGCCGACGTCTCCGCCGCCCTCAAGAAAGCCAAGCTCGTCAAGGTCCGCCTCGAGGCCCTCGATCGGTCCAACGCCGCCAACCGCAGCGTCCCCGGCTGCGGACCGGGCAGCTCCTCCGACCGGACCCGCACCTCCGTTGTCAACGGCCTCCGTAAGAAGCTCCAGGAGAGCATGTCCCGGTTCGCCGACCTCCGCCAGCGGATGGGGTCCGAGTACCGGGAGACCGTCCAGCGGCGGTACTTCACCGTCACCGGCGAGAATCCGGACGAGGCGGTCCTCGACCGGCTGATCGAGACCGGGGAGAGCGAGACGTTTATGCAGAAGGCGATTCAGGAGCAGGGGAGGGGGCGCGTGATGGACACGATCGCCGAGATCCAGGAGAGGCACGACGCGGTTCGGGAGATTGAGAGGAACCTAAGGGAGCTGCACCAGGTGTTCCTGGACATGGCGGTGCTGGTGGAGAGCCAAGGGGAGCAGCTGGACGACATCGAGAGTCAGGTGAATCGGGCGAGCTCGTTCGTCAGGGGCGGGGCCCAGCAGCTGGAGGTCGCCAGGAAGCATCAGAAGAGCTCCCGGAAGTGGGCCTGCATCGGGATTCTGATTCTGTTGGTTGTTGTCTTGATTATCGTGCTCTCGCTCAGGCCGTGGAGTAATGGTGGAGGCGGCGGCGGCGGCGGTGGTAGTGGGCAGAGCCCGGCGGCACCGGCCGGTGGCGCGGCACTTCCGCCGCCGATGGCGCCTTGAGTTGTGGGGGGTGAGGATTAGTTGATTCGATTTGTTTGTTTGTTTATTTATTATTATTTTTTTCCCAGTATTTACTTTTCGTTTTGGGCTGTTGATATTCCTTTTATTTTTGGAGTTTGGTGTGAGGTTATGTCATGTACTTACTATTGGTTTTTGCAGTGCTACGCAGATTATACTTCTTTTGGTTAACTCAAGGGCTCAATTGGTTTATAGTTAAGGTTGTAAATGAATTGAGGTGCTCACAAACCATTTGAGTTTGATTGAGCTTGAGTCGGAGTTTAAAAATTTCAGTCACATTTAAGTTTGAACATATATCTTGTTTTTGGAGCAGAGCGGAGTCGAAAAATGCTCGGCTCGTTTAACTCGAGCAACAGTCAAATAAAAATCAAACATAGAGCAATAGCGCGATAAGGTCAATGATAGCTTCTTCGCAACTTTAGTTAAAGGAATAGTCAAAATTCATTCAATTGGAAGTGGTTATAGCGTTTAGATTTATGTAAGTCTTATTTGTGGGCTTCTTTATTCAATTTTTTTTTTTTTAATTGATATTTNAATTAATATCAAATCGAATTGAACTATATCGAGTTATATAAAAAATTTTAATAGTTAAATTCTGTTTGCACGTAACATATTGTGGTTCTCGAATTGAATCCATACTAACCGAGTAACTACATATTATTCATATATGAATACAAATGTAATTGCTCATCACAATTTCATGTAGATGGACAAATAATCCTCGGAATTATTCATTTATTTTCGTGCCTTAACATAAAGAGCCCTCATATCCTAATGGTTGTATCATTAGAGACAAACATTGATATTGAGTGATGAGTGGGCTTAAATCCAACACACACTAATCAATAGAAATGTAAACGAATATTGACTAGAGCACGACCTAAGAGATGTCTCTTACCCACGAAACGTTTGCATTTAGCCACTCGCGAGTTATCTCCTCTAATTGTACCAAGAAGGAAAGAAAAAAAGAAATGTAAATGAATGTGTTATAACTTATCAAAAGTAGGGGCTGTTAATAATATTCACTAACATTGTTAAAAGGTGATAAAATATTAAATGCTTTGGCAAGTGTAGAAACTAGAAAAAAGGTGATAAACTATTCAATGCTTTTGGCAAGTGTAGAAACTAGAAACGTTAGATCCACATATAATGAGTGATCCACATTTATTGAATGTTATTGTTAAATTTATGGGCTGTGAAGCATGTGATGTTACCATAATAATGAAATGGCTTATTGGGCCATATATACTTGATTACTCAGTTACTACACGTACATTAGCAATATGGACCAAGAATCGAAACCAATAAGCGGACCGAACCCGTAAGATATTAATTTTCTTATTAACTATATTAAACCGGCTATTTCCAATTCTTTACAGTTTTCAAATATAGAATCTCAGGGTAGCTCCTTGATATAGATATGTACCCAATGGGCTCCTTGAAGGCCAATAATATGACATGGGCCTAGATAGTTCACTATTGAGGAAGCCCAATTATTTCATTGAGAAACTTCTTAGCGTGTGCCGATAGCTCTCTGGAAAGTCACTTGAATAAAATGTCGTGCCCTTTGCTTCATAACCATTTTCGTTTCTTCACACTCCCCCAGCTTTCCCAACCGCTATCATCCGTCGTGCGCCTTCAATTTGCCGGCGGCCGGCGCTTACTCAATAGAAATTCAGCTCGGATCTCGACCTTCACCTGCATGTCTCACCGGCCTAACTTCCAAGGCGGCCGTCGCGGCGGCGGAGGTCGCGGAGGCGGTCGAGGCGGCGGCGGCGGCGGCGGTGGTAGAGGCAGGGGCGGAGGTCGCGGAGGCGAGCAGCGGTGGTGGGATCCTGTGTGGAGGGCCCAGCGTCTGGGCCAGCAGCTCCCCAAGGTAGCATTTTTATGCAATTTTTGATAGATTTGAATAGGTGGGGTTAGGCTATACCTATACTCGAAGGGCACTGAGGAAAAATTTGCGGAAGATGAAAATTTGAAGCATTGCTTTGCATTTGTGTTCTGATGAAATAATATAATACTGAATAGTGAGGATAAGCTATACATTTTGTAGAATGCCTGACAGATTATTTCTTTGGTTAGTTTAAAAGATATATTTTCTAGTTATTGTTTAGCTTTATATTAGAGTTCCTGAAAATCTTTGCATCTGTTTATTCTAGTCTCATTTAACATGTTATTTACGTGTTTTCTTGTATGTAGTTCGAGGTACTGGATCGGGATGAATGGCTGGGTAAAATAGAACAAATGAAAAATGGGGGAAAGCAAGAGATGGTAATAAGACAAAGATTCAGTATAGAGGATCAACAAATCTTGGCTGATATAACTTATCAATTTGGTCTTTATTTGTAAGTTATTTGTCTCTGTAACTTTGTGCTCTGCCTTCGTTTTTTCGGATAAAGCTTGGCAATGAAGATGTTCCCTTCATATTTGACCTCACCGCCTTAAAGTTCATGATCGTGCAGTGATTTGGTGAATCTGATATGTTGTTTTTTCAGTTTCATCAGCTTGTTGTTTAATAGGGTTGGTTGATTGAAGGAATTTCTTAGTAGTTACATTTGGAGTTAGAGATTTGGGTGTGCAAATGTGTTGAATGAGTACTTTTGTTTGGTCTGGTTATATATGAAATGACTTTTTGAGGANCATATGATCTATGGAAAAGAAAAAAAATCTATTCTTATGTTGCTAATTGCAATCAATAACCGTACCCTGTTTTGAACTAAATTTTCAGATAAAGCTTTCCACCGAGATTGAGGAAAGAGTTGGAAATTTATTGAACAGTTCCAATGGGACAACATCAGTTGGAAACAGTTCTACATCCTCTGGGCCGGCAACGTTGCAATCTAAACCTTCTGAAATAAGCAGATCAGCATCACATATGGAGATTGATGCTGCCTCCGAGGAATTTAGTTTTTCACTGAAACAAAAACAGGAAAAGATGAGGGTATATATGATTTGATGGTGTGAAAATTTCGGGTTTTCCTTAAATTAGTTTGTGAAAGCTAATTTTTTCTGAATTTCTAGGAAAGTGAGAGCGCAAAGGAAATGCTGGCATTTAGGGAAAAGCTTCCAGCTTCCAAAGTAAAATCGGAATTCTTGAAAGCTGTTGCAGAAAACCAGGTGCATTTTTTCTTCTTCATCGATGGTCATTTTTCATATTTGTCTGAGGCACAACATTGTCAGTTTTTACTTTTAAGTGCTTCCATATGGAAGCTTATTCTACTATTTTCGCCTTTTTATTATCCATTTTCTCATCTTCATGATACAATACAGGTTTTGATAGTGTCTGGAGAGACTGGCTGTGGTAAAACCACCCAGCTTCCTCAGTATATCTTGGAAGAAGAGATATCATCTTTACGAGGTGCCAAGTGTAGCATGATATGCACTCAGCCTCGTAGAATATCAGCAATATCAGTTGCAGCCAGAATATCTGCTGAAAGAGGGGAGAAGCTTGGTGACACTGTAGGTTATCAGATACGGCTCGAATCAAAACGATCTTCTCAAACAAGATTGTTATTTTGCACGACTGGGGTGTTATTGAGGCAGATGGTATTTTTCATCTAACTATACATTTCATTTATTTCTGCATCTGTCTTTGATAAGGAAATATATTTGGAATCTTTTTTGGTCTGTTAGCTGGAAATTTAGTCAAGACTGATTATAATTTACAGTACAGCTAACAGGTTACATTCTTTCACTTTGAAATTCGAAATATTCATTTCCTCCGTGTTCCTGAATGCAGGTCCAGGACCCAGATTTAACTGGAATCACGCATTTGCTAGTGGATGAAATTCATGAAAGAGGCATGAATGAAGATTTCCTGTTAATAATATTGCGGGACATTCTTCCTCGACGTCCTGATCTTCGTATTATCCTTATGAGTGCCACTATCAATGCTGACTTATTTTCTAAATACTTTGGAAATGCTCCCACCATACATATTCCTGTATGATTTTTTTTTTTCCCTTACATGTTATTACCACTTGACTTCACCGTCTTCTTCATGATATGTCTTTTTTAATGTGAAATATTTTCTTCTCATTGTTTTTCTTAGGGATTGACCTTTCCTGTGAAAGAATTTTATTTAGAAGATGTGCTGGAGAAAACTCGGTATAGTATCCAAGCAGAATTTGACAACTTCCCAGGAAACTCAAGAGGCCGACGCCGTCAGCAGGAGGCCAAAAAAGACCCTTTGACTGAGTTGTTCGAAGTATGCTTTATTGTTATTATTATTATTTGTTTCTTCAACTTTCAAGTCTTTGATGGTTATTTTCAATGTATATCAGATTGGTTTACTTTATTTTATCTAGTTTTCTGATATTATGCTTAATGCTAATATACATGGTTTTGTTTAAATAAATTTCAAAGTTATGTTTGCCGCAAGCAAAATTTCCGGTATTCCCACTTTTCACATTTATTTTTGTTTACATGTATTGTTCATCAAGCTGATATATGTACTTTTTCTTTCTGCTTCCAGGAAGCAGACATTGAAGCTCTCTACAAAGGATATAGTGCAAGCACCAGGCGATCTCTTGAGGCTTGGTCAGATTCTCCACTGGATTTGGGCCTTGTATGTATCTTAGAGAATTATATTATCTTTCCCCACAAACTTTACAGCGAGAAATTGGTTGAATATATCAATTCTGAGCTGAATTTCCTTTGTTTCTTTATTTATTATACTTTTTTTTAATGAAATATCGATATATGTTCACTGAATTTATTTAGGATAGGTTTTCTGAATTTTTATCTTCTAAATAATAAAAGAAGCATCGTAATTAAGAAAATACGACTCAAGCTTATATTCCTGTTGGATATTTTACAGGTGGAAGCAACCATTGAGCATATATGCCGCAATGAAGGTAGTGGAGCCATTCTTGTTTTCCTGACTGGTTGGGATGATATTTCGAAGCTCCTTGATAAACTCAAGGCAAATAATACTGTTGGAAACCCAAATAAGTTTTTAGTTATTCCTCTGCACGGCTCAATGCCTACGGTTAATCAGCGCGAGATTTTCGACCGTCCACCTCCAAATGTCAGGTTGCCTTCTTCATATCTCATATTTATAATGAAGCCATGTCATAACTTTCTTTCTTTCTTTCTTTTTCTTTTTTTTTTTCATGAAAAAATCTATTTTGCAGGAAGATTGTGCTAGCAACCAACATTGCTGAGAGTAGCATCACCATAGATGACGTTGTATATGTCGTGGACTGTGGAAAGGCAAAAGAGACGAGCTACGATGCTTTAAATAAGCTGGCATGTCTTCTTCCTTCATGGATTTCCAAGGCATCAGCACACCAGGTATAAATCAACAAGAATCTGCCCATCTTTTTTTTTTTTCACCCAACCGAAATTTGGCCTTCTAAAAGGTATATTTTATTGCATATTTTCTCCTTCATTTCATCTTCGGGTAAAAAATTTGCAGAGACGTGGCCGAGCTGGCCGTGTGCAGCCGGGGGTTTGTTACAGGCTGTATCCTAAACTGATCCATGAAGCCATGCCCCAATACCAACTGCCCGAGATGCTTCGAACCCCTCTGCAAGAGCTGTGTTTGCATATCAAGAGTTTGCAACTCGGTGTAATTAGCACTTTCTTGTCCAAGGCACTTCAGCCACCCGATCCTCTTGCTGTGGAGAACGCAGTTGAGCTTCTCAAGACAATTGGTGCTCTTGATGATAAAGAAGAGCTCACCCCTCTTGGTGCGTGTGATATTTCATTACCGAACTAGCAGTTTATTTCTGAGAATTAGCCACTTTTTGAGGTGATCTGAGAAGATTGTAGTGAGTAACTGTGATTTACTTGATAGGGAGGCATCTGAGCACTTTGCCTTTGGACCCAAATATCGGGAAGATGCTTCTCATGGGATCTATTTTCCAGTGTCTTAACCCGGCACTGACAATAGCTGCTGCACTTGCTTATCGGCCACCATTTGTCCTTCCTATAAATAGGAAAGAGGAAGCAGAGGAGGCGAAAAGAGCCTTTGCTGGTGATTCGTGCAGGTGAGGTTACATAACAATCATAAAAAAGAAGAGAGAGAGAAAAAAAAAAAAAAAAAAAAAAAAAAAAAAAAAAGGAAAACTGCTCTGAGGGAATTCTTTATGAAAAAAATTTGAAGCAGTGTTTTTTGCTGATTTAAGAACTTTCCTTGGCTTGAAACAGTGACCACATTGCACTCCTTAAAGCATTTGAAGGATGGAAAGATGCTAAAGGGAACAGAAGAGAAAGGGCTTTTTGCTGGGAGAACTTCCTCTCACCAACGTCTATGCAAATGATGGCCGACATGAGGATGCAATTTCTCGATTTACTGGAAGGGATTGGCTTTGTGAACAAATCCCTCGGCCCTGAAGTAAAGTTTGCAACTTTGTTAATTGTTTTCGTAAAATCTGAAAGTTAATAATTGCAAACCCCAAAAAACCCCTCATTATCACTCAAAATGACAACTAACTAGCCCTCTATTTCGCTGCAAACGGTCGCACGAGATTTGCATTTTCTTTACATACATTCCTTATGTGGGCAAAAGTTTGTAAACAAAAATTCAGTTCGCGATTCATGTGAATTCACCTGATTTTTTTCAGGCGTATAACCAATACAGTGATGATTTAGAGATGGTATGTGCAATACTATGTGCCGGGCTATATCCTAAAGTTGTGCAGTGCAAAAGGAGAGGAAAGAGAACAGCTCTCTTCAGTAAAGAAGTGGGGAAGGTTGGGATTCACCCGGGTTCGGTAAATGCCGCCGTTCACCTTTTCCCTCTGCCTTTCATGGTTTATAGTGAGATGGTCAAAACCAGTAGCATATACATTAGAGACTCGACTAATATATCTGATTATGCTCTGCTGATGTTTGGTGGAAATCTTGTTCCGAGCAAAAATGGTGATGGTATTGAGATGCTCGGTGGATATCTTCACTTTTCTGCTTCAAAGACTGTATTGGACTTGATACGGGTATATTTCATCTCTCTCTCTCTCTCTCTCTCCCAAATTTCTGTTATATTACAAAATTCTGCACTTTTTTGAAATGGGCTATTAACCTGGGTTTGGTATAATTACAGAAACTTCCCAGTTAACCTTTGAAATTACAAAAGATACCATGTTAAATTAAGCTGTAATGTTTGGTGAATGTTGTGGGGTGACTTGAAATGTTATCCCTTTTTTTTTTTATTAATTTTTGGGCTTGTGAAGGGTGATATATTTAAGGCCGAAGAAAATCTAGGGACACTCACTTGNTTTGAAATAAGTTTCTTTGTAATTAGGTTGGACTTCATTAGTAGTTCTGCAGATAAAACCTAAAACTAGCTGGAAAAAAGTGCTTAAAAACGCTTTGACTCGAAGCTAAAATTCTTTTTGAAAACTATGCAGAAATTGCGTGGGGAGCTCGACAAGATTCTAACAAAGAAGATTGAGGATCCAGGGCTCGATGTTACTCTTGAAGGTAAGGGTGTGGTTGCAGCTGTAATTGAGCTATTGCACAGTCAAAATTTGAGATATGTGTAATTTTGTCAATTATAGGCCTTTTCTTACATTACACAAACAAATAGAACAATCCACATTATGCTCACATATGAACCATTTGAGGTTCTTCTAAGTTCTCAAACACAATGGTTTTTATTTAATCATTATNGAAATGTCTATGTAAGCTTTAAGAAATAATAACAATGCTATATTGTGGTTAGAGCTTCTGCTTAGCCGTTTGATACATGAGCCGAACTTGAGATCGTTTAGTTAATGAGCTCAATTCCGGTCGTTAAAGTTTGATGAATAGGTTTTTTCTTACAATTTTTTTTGAACTTTTAACATAACTAGTACGGTGCCCGTGCGATGCACGGGAGCATTTGTTATTATATATTTTTTTAAAAGATATTTTTGTATTTAAATTGTCTCATGACATTAAAAATTTCATGAAAATGAAATTTATATGTTATTAAACACTTCCTTATGTACAACATTATTGATTTGATTCTTTGGCACGTAAAGTACTACATAGGTGTTCGAATTTATCCAAAATTGCATATTATTAGTTATTAGTTAACAAATTTTAAAAAAATGATCTTATTTATTGAACAAAATTAAAGTAGAAAAAAAGTAAATTTTTTTTAGAGATTTTCACCCATTATTTATTTTAAATCTTATTTAAATTTCAGTTAAGAAAAATTGAAAAGAATCATTAGTTAATCCCGGAAATGAAACCTATTTTCCTACCAATAAACTGATTTTTTTATCAAACAAATTGATCCGAATTTTTTTTAAACCAAATAAAAAAAATCATCAATTTTTCCTAAAAATGTAACCAAAATTTCCTAACAATGCACCAATATTTGTACCAAACAAATTGAATTGAAAATAATTCTAATAAAAAATTGAAATAAATTGTTAATGTTTATGCAACTATCTCTTTCTTAAAGAAAATGATATGAACTTAACCAAAAAAAAAAATGATAGGAACTTACCAAAATCTCAGTAAAATATGGTTAAGAAAAAACATAAGAATCCAAAAAGATCGATGCATTTAAATTTTGAAAAGTTGCACATAATTTTTCCTAAATAATTAGATAAGGTGACTTTAAGTATCAATGATGAACCGCTTTTGTTACCAAAAAATTTGGACACAATTTTGAATGTACATCCCATCCAAATATCAGTTTTATTTTAAAATTAAAATTGCATGTGGTTTTATACAATTTACACAATTTTTTGAAAAAAAAAATTATTCAATAAGATTGGAAGAATTGGTTAAGAATTATACAACTATTTGCTTCCTAAATTTGTATCCAATTTGTACGGTTTTTAAATTAATTTGTATTTAGAATTGTTTTTCATAAATAATTGACACATTTTTTACATAAGAATCTCCAAATTTGTTACAAAAAAAGATATGATTTAAATTTTGGTAAAAAAATAAAATATAATACGAAAAATATGGGATTCAAATTTTGCCATAAGAATCTCCAAATTTGTTACAAAAAAAATAGGATTTAGATTTTGTTACTAAAGATTCACATATGTTTTTTTGAACTTTCCATTAATAGTAAGTCAAACATTATATTTATTTGGTCAAACTTTTTATTAATGTATTTTTCCAACAACCTCTTTATATATATATAGATATAGATATAGATATAGATATAAATATAGATTCAACTTTTTAAGGCTCGTTAATGAGTATTCTGGTTTTATAAGGGTTTGAGCTTAGATTGGTTTACAATAAATTATAGCAAAAATAAAAATAAAAATTATATACTTGCAATTTGCAATAGAAAATTAATCAACCTTGTACAATGTGTTAGAAAGCTTTTTCCCGACATAGAACTACATAAGTACTTCTGAAATACTAGGCGATGCACAATTTCTATTTTCCAAGTATTAACAAATATTGGACCACACGACTTTTGAACCAAGTCTATAATTTTGGACTATTGAAATAGTTTGCAAGTGGTTAATGAGCATACTTTACCAATTTAAAACATTAGTCCTTTTCCCAGCCCTACTTGTCATCTGGTTTATTGAAAAGACCTTTTTTTTTTTCTTTTAAATCTTGGGCAGAGAAATAAGAAAAATGATTGACTTATTCTATTTTGCATGAAATTATAAACGCAACATTAATTTTGTACTCAGCATTAAGTCAAAAATATTAAAAGGTCAGCTGTATTAACATGATACATGACTTTTTCATGGTCGAATGAATAATGCAACCACAAGTTATATAAGTGGTTCAAATCTTCGGATCTATCTTCTTTTCATCACTCACTGCGTCATCTACGTTCTAATTCACTAAATTAAATAAATGTAACAACACTATTTTTTTTCTAGTAACTTGTTAAATGGTAACTGGGTTTGAGATATGTAAACCCTTCGAGCATTTTTAATATGAGAAAAATAATAAGTTAAGCCACTACAAACATTTAAGGGAAGATTCGACCATATCGGTGTGAGTTTGAACCGTCAGATTATACACACAAATACACACTTATTGGGATCTAACGGATCAAAACTCAGTACGGATGTTGGTCTGTATGTCTTTTTTTGTCTTTTTAGAAATATTCTTTTGAGGAATAAAATTGAAGTTTGTACTCGCTGGAAGAGATATATATAGTTATGAATTCCTTAAAAAGGACTATAATTAAAGGGGTGTATTCGTTTGGTATGACTTTTTAAGATTTGATACATTTTTAAAATTTTTAAATTTAGGAGAAATACTATGAAATTTTAAGTCTAGAAGTGTGATTTAGAGTGCAATTTCTCGTATGTAGTTTTTGAAATCACAACAAATCTTAAAAAGTTATAACAAATTCTCCTTTCAACAAAGTAAATATATCTCAGAATTTTGTAAGACATTAAAATCTCAAATTTATACTCCGAGACTTTTAAAAATCTAAATTAAATACACCAAAATTATTAAATTATTAAATAGTAATTAGAAATTCCAAAATGTCCTATTTGAACAATTTTGCGAGTCTCATGGCTCCATATAATTTTTGCATATTTGAATAGGACTAAAAGTTTGTGTTTTCCACTTGCAACTTTATCATACACTGAACCTTTAATTAAGAGTTCTTAATTTTGATTTTCAGCGTTTGAAATGGTAAAACCTGCCAGTCACAATTGTTCCTTATTGATGTGGTTTAGGTTTTCTAAATACATATGGATGCTGCATTTAATTAGTATTATAATCTCTTTGAACTGTACAAAAAAATAAAAAATAAAAAAAAATCCTTCAATTCAACCAAAGCGGCCACATGTACATATCCACAAGTTATCAGTCCGACTTAATTTATTGTGCTGGTTTTCTTAATCAAGACAAATTATTTTTCCATTTAAATACTAATTATATTGCGTACTATTTCTTATGTAAGTCACTATATAATTACTGAAACTAAATTGTAGTAGTATTCATTATTAATTCATTCATTTCAGATTCTCAATGTGTACTTCTCATTAATTTCTAAACCAAGCTACCATTATTTCTTCTAAAGTTAATTAGTAATTATGAACAAGATTATAGATGTAGTTAGGTGCTCAATTAGTTGCGAGCAAGGACTTTAATTTAGTGCGTAGGGCGCCTACACAAAATCGAAAACCTATTTAGTCATATTTGTTATCGTACATAATTTACAAGTTAAATTATATAAAATCTGCGAATTAATATAATTGGATACAATACAAAGATGATAAAAAAGTATAATATATTCATCACTATTGTACTAATATAATTCGAAAATTCGAAAATTATAATATTACTAAGCCGGTGCCGCTTAACGCCTGAATTTTAGAACAGTGATTATGAACACAATAAACCAAAAGGTCAGAGGAAAATCCAACTTAAGACAAAACTCAAAGAACAAGAATATTGTCACCATTTCTACACCAATCTTCTTCCTTAACCAAACTCCAAAAAAAAAAACCCACACAAAATTCCATCAAAATAACCAGTTTTAATTAATTAATTTCTCATGCACATCATCAAAAGATAAAATCCCTATTCACAATTAATGACATTCTTTCTATATAACTATGGCTATGTAGTTGATTGAATCAAACATACATTTCATCACAACGACGACGAAACCAAATCCCTCGGCAGGCACGGCAAATCCCTCCACGCCTTCGAGTGCATCCTCAGAATCTCTCGGGCCCTCTCCTTCGTCTTGAGCCCGCAATCGACCCGCACGACGAGGCACAGCTTCGACACCACCCCTACTTGCACCATCTCGTGCAAAACCCCTGGGCCCGCGCAAAACCTACTCACCGAGCTCAATATCCTCACGGCCCGTTCACTCGCGTGCCCCGAAACCCTAAGTATCTTCTTCGACACCACCGCAAGGCCCGCGCCGTGGCCCAAAAGCCCGGCCCGACCCTCCGCGCACTGGCACAGAAGGTCGAGGACCGTCAGCATCATCTCGCAAACCCTCTTATCGAACGAGTCGAGCAAGAGCTCGACGAGCACGGGCACGAGCCCTGACTCGACGGCCTTTACACGATTACGGCCCCACGGGCACGCGGCTATTAGGGTTTTTAGGGTTTCTCTGGTGGACTTCTGAGACACTTGGTGGTCGAGCGCGTGGCGTAGCTCGGTGAAGAGGTCGGGATGTAGGTTCGTCAGCAGAGATGGGTCGTCGTCGGCCGCTTCGAGGACCGGTCTCAGCAGCGCGATCGCGTAGGCCCGGGACTCGTAGCTCCCGAGCCGCATGACGAGGGTCAGCGACTCGACGAGTTCGGGCCGGGCCAGGGCTTTTAGGCCCAGCTCGGATAGGTCGAGCCCGCAGAGGATTGCGAGTGCCTCCTCGCACGTTTTTCTCGATTCAATAAAATCGTCAGACGTTTCGGTGCCAGTTGACGCTCGCGGGGCGTTGTCGATTATTAGGGAGGCGAGGAACTCGTGGGCCCCGGCTGACTCCATGCACCGTTTGTTGGTTTGGTTCTGCGAGGCGATGGACCGGAGGTTTTGAAGGCATTTGATTAGGGTTTGCGGGCCGAAGGTTTTTCTCCGGGCTTGGTCGATGATTTTCGAGAGCTCGGCCTTGCGGAAGGGGGCTTTGGGGGTCGGAAGGCGTTGGAACCCTTCGGGGGCGTGGAGAGTGCACCAAGATTGGATGAGGCGGCGGAGGGTGATGTTGGGGATTAGGGGGTCGTGGGCCGGGTCGATGGGTNTATGGAGTTAAGTTTTTCTTTTTGTAGCTAGGGAAAGGAAAAGGATTATGGAAATTTGATGTTGTTAGGGGAAGAATAAGAAGATGAGCCTTTTTTGAGGTTTTGATGTGGGATTTTGAAGAAGGTGAGACTTTGGGAGGGTTTGGTTTTATATGTGGAGGATGAGCGAGATTCCAAATTGGGAAAAAGTCAAAACTTGGAAGGATTCAAGATTGTGTGTGCAATGTGTGTAGGATGTGTGTGAGAGAGAGAGAGAGGGGGAAATGTGTGCAAGGGTTTGACATTTCAAAGTGCACCTAGCCTAAATGTGTGTGTGTGTGTTGCCAATTTGATCATGTGAGGCACATTATTGTTTGACTTTCTCTTTTTGTGTACAAAAGAATAAGTGGAATATTTATGGCCACCTCGTGCTTAATTATACTTTAAAAGATGGTCAATGGCTTTCATATGATGTGAAAAGTTAGAATAAATATTCTGGGTTGTCTTTAGTTGTATTTGGCAAAGATTATAAATGTCGGTCGTGGGTTTACTTCTCAATCTTACATTTTTTGGTGTATAAAAAAAAATTAGTGTTTACTTTTATTTCATCTGGTAAACTGTAATCCCATAAAAACAATGAACTTAATTCATCTTCATATTAGACACAATAAGTTATTGTTTTGGGTTTATTCGTCCATTTTTTGGTATAAAAACTTAATGTTACATACTAAGGGTTCTGTATCTCTCAGCTGTGCACCTTATTACTCATTCAATATTTCATTTTACCTATCATATATAAATATTAAAACTAATTAATTGCCTATTCTTTAGGATGAATTTTTCAATACAACCAATTTAATAATTTTTTTTCCCTATACCATTTTATGATGGAAGATTCATACGGTCTTTCTCATTATAATTTTAAATCACACGAATGTGGTAAAATATCAATCTTTATTAAAATATGATAGAAATTTCATACCTTTTTCTAACATAATTAAATGTATTTTGATCAATTCAAGATTTATATAATCTTTCAATTAGTTGAACAAATTAATAGTGATTAGCCCGACCTTAATACTATTTACTTTGCGGCTGTGTTTTTATTGTCGGACAAACCAGGTCACGTTGACCAAGCCACGCTGGCATAACTGGCTCGGCTCTGAAGATGAGCTGGCAACCCCCATATTCTTGCGTATGTGACTCTCACAAATATGGGTTGACTTTTCTATTAAAAATTTATAATATATTCTTTTAGCTAAATTCAACTCTTAATTTTTTTTTTGGTACAATGAACCTTCCGGTTTCCGAATCTCCTAGGGGACCGACTAATCCGGAATCGAGCCGGGTAAGACCACAAGGGCGGCAAAGCTCTACCTCAAGAGTTTTAACACAGCTGCATTCCCTGGGCTCGAACTCGAGACCTCTGGTTAAGCTGGGAGAGACCCCAACCATCTCACCCACGTGCTCTTGGGTAAATTCAACTCTTAATTAATTAGGCACAAGCAATGTGAAGGGCTAAATTAGTGGAAAATAAATTGTAAACAAAAAATTAGAAGTCAACCGATTAAAATTCAATGTTATGAAAGATCGAATTATACTTCCATTTTTTTATCATATATTATTAACTTACTGTGCTATTTAATTCAAAAATTCATTATTAACAATATATATACGAACTTTTGTTTTCTAATATTTTACTTCGTTTGTGATTTGGTTTAAACTCTCAATACTAACAATAAAAGATACGAAATTTTATTTTTGAAATTGAAGCATACATTCAACAAAATGATCGTCGTGTCCGGCTCGCCATATGATGAAGAGAGAGTTAGAATGCTATANCGTACTCGTTCTTCCCTTCTAATGTTAAACTAGTACGTAACCCGTGCAATGCATGGGATGTAAAATTTAAAAGAATAATATAACCTCACGTGCATTAGGATCGAAATTGAAATCATTAAAATACATAGAAACATTGTTGAATCATAAAAAGTTCGGTAACAATCATATATTATTAAAAACCTCCTTGTACACAACATTATGAGTTTGATTATTTGGTAACTCCTCATTATCACAAACTAATATTTTCAAAAGAGAAAAATCCTAAAAATCAAACTAAATTTTTGGTGAACAAACTAATATTTTAAGATTGGTGAACAAACTAATATTTTAGGATTTATAGAATTTGTCTCTTTTTGGTGAACAAACTAATATTTTAGGATTGATTATATGAATAAGGCTACCTGTTTTTGGTGCTCTTTTCATTCATTTCATTCAAACAATCCGATGACTTGTATAATGAAATCCGAATCTTAAGCCTAAAAAAAGAGTTTTTAAAAATTGAAAAGTCAAGGCAATCAGTTCAGATTAATTAAAGGTCAAAGAATATCCGCTCCTTGAAATAAAGACGTGTGCTATCATTAATCAAATATCCAGTTATTGATATAGAGTGGTTACCAAAAAATAGAACGCGATAAGGACGCTTCATGGAAATATCAATGGGATAAGGTCATAACATATCGCTATACATTTTAACGATAAAAGCTCAGATGGAATGATTAACGATAAAAGCTTGGAAATGATTTATGATAATTATGTCGTAATTAATGCTTTAATTAGATGTGTGAAAATTGACATAATTAATGAGAAGTGTGAAAAGGACATAATTAAAGAGAAATGTGAAAAGGATAAAAACTTACCAGTTTTGGAAAATATTTAATGCAAATCTGACATTGACCATAATTTGACCTACTATTTTGAATAAATGTTAATTCTTATTATATAAGTATAGATAACATGCCATACATTGTAAGCATCTGTGACTCGATTTAATGACCGCGTGCTTTTTATTAGCAAAATCGAAAAGTCGTGCCTTTTATCGTCAAAATTGAAAGGATAAAATTAGATTACGAACGAAGCAAAAATTGAGATTTAATACGCAATTTATCCTTAAAAATATTACTAATCAGTAATCTTTACCCATTAATGATCATATTGTCATAATAGGGGTTATATTAATTATGCTAAAATTTGTATATTGCTGAAAAACTTTTTCTTCGCCGGTGCTAATATGATCCGACCTATATATAATATGAAATGAAATTAATATTGTCTGTATTTTGCTGTGAAATTAAACATCTAACTTGGAACTGGCAATCAATGCCGAAGTAAACGTCGGTGGCGATTATCTCTAAAAATGCTAAATAAATCGTTGACCCTGCTTTTTTTGTGGCTTCAAATATTATTACTTATTAGTTTCCTTTTGGTTTTGTTTATTGTTTTTTGTTTCACTTCTTATTTTCCTTTTGATTTTCTCGTGACTGATCAGTTTGTGTCTGGCGCAGTTTTTATTATTGTGAAAATTTCAACTTATTTTAGTGTTTGAATATGCAACGGTGTGATCAAATGGAATTTGAATATATCATTGGCTGATGGTTTATGTAGCGTCCCAAACGACCATAATTAATTTCATGCATTTTTATTGTTAAGTTCGATATTTAATTTGATTAAAATGAAAATTAAATGGATGTCCTCGTCTAATTAATTTATAAAAAGAAAAGAGATTAATTAGAGGTCTCCATTTATTTAATTTTTCTTAATTAAAACTTCTTTAATTATAATTTTAATTATTTAATTAAAATCTTAAGCAATAAAAGAGAATGAGTATTAATCTAAGATAATTAGAGCACATTAAAAATCGGCCCTCATCCTACTTCACGTGGAAAAAAAAAAGAGAGAAGAGAGTTCGAGCATGTTTGTTTATAAAAATTTTTAGTTTTGTTTAGATTTTTTGATTTGGTTTGGTTAATTTTGAAAAAGGTGGTATGGTTAGTTGTTAGTGTGTATATTAAAATAATATTTATAATAAATAATTAAAATTGATGTGATGTAAAAGTAGGAGAGAGAAATTTGAAGTGACGGTTAGTAAAAATAATGTGAGTGAATGAATAGTGAATTAAGGTTGATGTGGTGTGTATGAATGATTAATTGATATTATTTAATTATATTGATAATTTGGATGATAGTGGAATTGAGTTAAAAAAATGGTTAAGTTAAAATATTGAAATTTTTTTGAAAACTTCCATAAATAAACATGCTCGATCATATCTTGCTCACAAAGTAAAAGAAAGTCCATTCCTATCCAGACAAAGACTCTTTTTATTTTTCCAAATCTCCTAAACCTAGCACTATAAATAAAGATCCTCATTATTAGATTTTTTATTTATTCCCAAAACACTGATTACCAAATAACAGGTAAGTTTATTTACTCTTAGGTTTTTACATTAACAGGTAAGATTAATAATCCAACAATTAATAATATTATTATTTCCAATAACAGGTAAGATTATTTACTCTTAGGTTTTTACATTAAAACGAGGTTTTGATTTGTACATTACTCAATTATTGAGATGATACTTTTTCTGGAAAACTGTATAACAATTGGAAAATGAAATTTGAACCAAAGCAATATTCCTAATAAGTAATAACAATCCATGTGTATATAATTATAGAATGCGTTGAGCCTAAGTTGCAGCCTCGCATGCTTCGGAATCCTACTTGGCGAAAAAACATGCTTCGTAGTTTGATTTGGATAAAAAATAATATTATTCTAAATCAATAATTTTAGGTTCTCACATTCCAAAAATATTGAAAAACTAACCTGGTAATTCCATAATAGTTTGACTAATATAACCCTTGTATTGGAACCTTTGGTAATAATATTGATTGACTAATATAACCTTGATTTTTTTTGGAAGCTCTCAATCGGCTCATTAATTTTCATGAAACCCTCAAATTAGCCTAATAATAAATGCATATATTTAATTTGAACAATTGGTGTTATTATTATTTAATTTTATAAATAATTTTCTTAACAAGTTTCCGTGTAGTACACGGGTATTGAGCTAGTAACATAATAATAGAGTAAGTTAATTCAATCAATTAGTTAGACTATTTAATTCATAAATTATTTAGACCTTCATCTACTATAAGTTATTGATCAAATCAAGTACTTCACCACTTTGGTGGCCTCAGTCCTCACTCGTGTCTCGAGCTCCATTTTGGAAGCCTTCTTCTATGTCGTTACTCTTTTGGGCTTCATTTTGAAAGTCTTTAACTGACATCATTCCGACCCAAATAGATTAACAAAAGAAGTTGGCTCAATCAAGCCCAATTAAGAGTAAAATGGTCCAATTAATTGAGAACTCATTTATTGCTCTGGGTTTTGGTTTGTCCAATTCTGCTCATTTCCCTTATGTTTTTCAATGTATTTTATTTGAGGAACTTTTTCCAAAGGTGAATCGAACAAGTTCCACTCTTGAGAGTAAGAGTTAATATATCCACCAACTGATGTGGTAGAAAACTATTATACCATACTAAGAGTGTAATTGAAATTAAAATATCATTAAATTTTGAAATGTGACCACGAGGGCAGATAAGATTTACTGAGAATTGAAATTATTTTATTTTTATGGCCTTACTTTATATCTTACTTTGGTTGCTAAAGCTATGGAATATTGACTTATGTCAAGCAGGTATCATGTATTTGTTTGTCTTTTAGGTATATTGTGTCACTAGTGTTGTATTTACTGTGATGTATCTAAAATAATGTTGCAAAGTTTGCTTAATTGTATTTGGGTAACCTTAACTAGGTTAACATTTAAAAATCTCTACATAGTTTACCATATATTGATTCTTGATGAGGAGCATTCGGATAATCGATTCAGGCCATATACAACTAAGTGATGAAAGTTTGATATTGTTGAGGAGCTTGGTATAGTAGCTCAAGAGACGACTCGGTTACACTCGGTTATAGCTTGGTGATATGGATTCGATTTCATCAAAAATCTCAGCTAAGAAAGAGATTTGTAGCGACTTAGAAATACCCTAATGTTCGTAGTAGGTTGCTAAGTGCATGCTTGGATATAAAATGTCCAACAATATCCAAACATTTTTAAGTCAACTACTTTTTTTTAATTCGACTTTAACTTAAGATCACCTATCTTCAGTATTAATAATATAATTAAATAAGATCAATCATTCATCCTTACACGTCGCATCCATTTTAATTTACTATTCATTCACTCACATATTTTAACTAACCATCACTTAACATCATTTCTCTTCTACTTTTACGTCAAATCAACTTTAATTATTTTAATATAAAATCAAAATCTCACTAACAATTAATTACACCACCTTTTCAAAATCCATACTGATTAACCAAAAAACCAGAACAAAATAAAAATTTCTTATATCCAAGCATCCCAGACCTGACAGCGCGCACAACAAAGAGGTGAGTAGGTTGGGGTTGTGACATAAGCACCCAATAAGGTATATTGTGAAGTTATATGAAATCTTACTATTATAGGAAAATATTTTATAGAAGTACGAAAGATGTAGGAGACGTATCACACTAGGAAATGAGATATGCGTATCTCATTTTCCCAAGTTTTGTGATATTTAGGCAAAATTTTAAAAATGGTCCACTATATTGGCCATTTTTCGAAAAAGATCCATCATCTAGGGTGTTATAAAAAATGGTCCACTAAGTTGCCAATTTAATTAAAATTTGTACAATAACCAACATAGTGTACTAAAAGTGATCATTTTTAGTTGCCATATTTAGTAAACTATGTTGGCTTTTGTACGAGTTTTCATGAAAATGACAACTTAATGGACCATTCTTGAAGACGTCCTACATGATGGACCATTTTTAGAAAATGGCCAACATAGTGTACTAAAAATGAAATTTAGCCCAATATATTTCTTCAATATATAGCTAAAAAACCAGATCTCTAGCTGAAGCGTCAGAATTTTTTCTCCGAAATCCCCTTCAGACATGTTTTGCAAGTGATCGAAACTCGATTCAGAGAAATGACACAAGAAGTTTATTTTTGGTCCGGGAGGAATTTATATATCAGACTATATCTAATGCCAAAGATTCCCTTGACATGTTCTGAGTCCGTGCTCAGACTTATCCGCGGGTTGTCACATATTAATTTATATATCTTTCTACAATAATTACTTGCAATCTATGCTTATATAAAAAGTCATCATATTTACTAGAAATGGTAGGAAGAAAAGTCAAAGGTAATTAATGTTTGCTGGAAATAGAATGACATTAATTACAGATTTGTTTGGTATTTATAGGTTTGACATTAAAGATTTGTTATGGGATAAAAATCATAACCGATTTTTTTACCTTTGCTGGAAAAGTTAAAGGTAAGTATAGATTTGTTTATATTATCAAATCATAAAAAGATATTAAATCCATATTGTAAAAAAAAAATAATTCATATAATTTTATAACAATTCAACTACACTATTTAACAGTATTCATTTTTATTATATAATAAAATAATAATTAAATATTATATGATGAACAACAATAAGTAAAATTGTTACTTTCTCTTATATCAAGTGATAAATTTAAATGTTAAAATTAAATTTTTATTAGTATAAATATTTTAGTGAGATAATATATTAATTATTTTACAAGCTAGCCCTAACATGCTCATATTTAATGTTCTGGCTAAAAAAACAACGTTGGTTAAAAAATGTGGAAAAAAACTTATAATAACCCAATTATTTTTTAGACTTAACGTTGATTAAAAGATGTAGAAAATAGATAATAAACCTGTTATTTTTTTAACTCAAACGGACAAGATTGTGAAAATAACTCATTTAATATCTCTGTCCCGTACATCGCACGGGGTACGTACTAGTTAAATTATACAAAATGTATACATCAATATGTTACTATTGATACCGTTCTATAATTTATTTAGTTTGATTACGAAAGTTGTAATAGAATTTTCCCAAAAATATACCAACGTTTTATTCAGAGATTCTACAGAGAGATCAAAGGAAAAATGAAATAATACAATCATAACATCAACCACTGTATGGAATAGAAGGAAATTTCCTGGAAGCATGTCACCCAAATTTAAACTTTTAAGAAACAATTTTGAGGGCCTCCGTACGCCAGCTAATACGGAACCGTACTTTTTCCCGACACTAGTCAACTTTTTCCCGACACTAGTCAAATTTAAACTTTTAAACTTTTAAGAAACAGTTTTGAGGGCCTCCGTACGCCAACTTATCATAATTTCTAAGTTCAAACGCAACAAACAATCAACTTATTTACGTAATCTTTGTGGGCTTTAAGTTTAAGAGCTTTCACTTTATAATTAACAAAGCATAAATCAGTAAATCGCATAATCTCTGCAAAATTTAATTAATAGTAAAATTAAAGTCAAATTCTTCAATAAAAGGTAGTTATTCTATTCTATAATTTGGAATTGATGTATATTGTTAATTACAAATGCTACTGTTAAACTGCTAATAATTATAGTTATATTTGTAACATAAAATGTATATTTCTAAAATCACGTAATAGTTAGATATTTGGGTATGAAATTATATAAATTTGTTTGGAAGAATAAGAAGACAATCAATTCGTAATTTATTTCAATATTTTTTCACTTTGTTGATAAAGTATCTCTCTTTAGTACTAGTTAGTTGTCTTTATATTTAATAATCTTCAAATTAACATTACACGTTGCGCAATTTGTGTGATATGTGGGTGTGCGTATGCGCGTGAAATTATGTCCAAGTACATAATTTAGGCACAAAAATAAAATTAAAAAAAAAAAGAAAAAAAAAGAGATAAGGGCCATGAAATTCATTTGCTTTATTTTACAATTCCAATCTGTACCCCACTAGTTAACTTACTGTCCGGACTCAATAAAAAGGTCCACTTATGTTTACTTTTTGTCTCACTTTGTTGATTGTGGAAATAAATAAATTGTAGTATTTTTTATTTTCTAATGATAAAGCTCATCCATATATTAGTTTTTTATAAAAAAAAATGTAATTAAAAGTGCAGAATATATAATTACTAGTGCATAAAATTTTCTCCTGAAAGTAAATATCCAAATAGGTAAAAACATTTCTAGTTGGGAGTCGGTGAAAATTATAGTTAAAAAAATTTGTGCCAAACTAATAAACGCCAAAAAAAAAAAAAATATATATAAAAAAATCCGTGGACACGTAGCAGATTTCAATTAATTTAGTTACACAGTTTTGCTATGCTCTCCTATCCACGCAGGGGTAAAATTTTAAAAATAGTCCACTTATTTTCAAAAAAATGTCCATTATATGAGGCGTCATAAAAAATGATCTACTAAGTACAACTTTAATCAAAATTCGTGCAAAAACCAACATAGTGTACTAAAAGTGATTGTCATTTTTAGCACACTATGCTGGCTATTATACGAGTTTTGATGAAAAGTAGCAACTTAGTGGACCATTCTTGATGAGACCATATATAATGGACCTTTATGGAAAATGACCAACGTAGTGTACTAAAATTAAAATTTAGCCTCCATGATGGACACTACATATGTCTACAAATTGATGTAGACTATATTTGATAAATCTAATCGATAAACTAGTTTATAGCTGATAAACGAGTTTATTGTTTTTAAGTGAATTTCGAGAATATAGTTGATAACTTATGACTTATGGCTGAAAAGCTAGCTTATATGATAGTATTTGGTAAAACAAGCTCGAGTTATTGTCTTACCAAACAAAACTTATTTAAATACAGAAAACTTATAAGCTAATTAGATAAACTGTAAACTAACTTATATTCTTACCAAACACAGCTGTAATAGGTCATTAACATACTGCATATGTATTGATATGTAATTGAAAGATTATAAAAAATCTATAAATTTCCTTTTCATATAATATACTAAGAATATACATATATATATTTTTTTTCTTTGAGTCCCAAACCAATACCTCCAAAAATTGCAAGCTCAACCTAAAAACATACAAAATGACAACATAATACCAATAGTAACAATAATCATTAAAACACACACACACACAATGCAACCATACTCCATCTTGTCTATATAAATCCGAACTCCACCAACTAAAAAAAATCCCATCACATCCTTAATTAAATCTCTCCATTTTCTCCTNCCAATTTTCTTGGTTGCTCTTCATCAAGAATCTCCACTAATCCATGGACATCAACATACAAGGCCAAGCGTTCGGTTATGCGAACTTGGTGCCTCGGAAACTAAAGTCGTACGCAGTGGAGACGATGAAGACGGCCAAGAAAGTCGGGCAAGAAGACCCGAGACGGGCCGTGCACCCCGCGAAAGTTGGGCTGGGCCTTACAATCGTGTCGTTATTCTACTATTTTAGGCCGCTTTACGATGGGTTCGGGCAGGCCGGAATGTGGGCCATATTAACTGTTGTCGTAGTTTTCGAATACACAGTTGGTTAGTAAATTTTTTTATATATATATCATAAAATAAAAAATAATATTAGTATTTTCCATTTATTCTATTTATGCGTATCAGTTCGCTTGGAGAAAGTCTAATTAGTGTGTTTCGATGTACGGAATATTGATTGGGTCAAAATTCATTTTTTTATTATATATATATATATATATTTTATTTTGTTTTGTTCATGTTACAATGAGCGTCACTTTTGCTAGTGTATATACGATGTTTTACTTATTATTCTATTTAAAATTTCATAATGAAAATAATAAAAATTGAAAAAATCTTATTATTGTGTTTTAATCTTTTGTTTTTGCTTTCTGAGTAGAGAGAAATCTAATTTTTTCCCCTTTTTTTTTCTCTTTATATTTTCTTTTGAAATGTGAATTTTGTTTAGGTGGGACCCTATCAAAAAGCTTGAACAGAGGTTTTGCAACGCTGGTGGCCGGTGCATTAGGGCTCGGAGCTGAGTACTTGGCCGGTCTATGTGGAGGAAAAGGAGAACCTGCTGTTATAGGGGTTTTGGTCTTCATTCTAGGTAATTAAAAAGTCATTTATTTATTTATTTTTCAAAATAAAATGCGAAATTGTAAATAATATGCCAAGTAATTAAAGTAGATGACAATTTTGTTTAATAATTTTTTTTCTTACATAAATTGTCTGACACATTAATGAAATCGCTAATATTACGTCCATAAACGTAAATAATTTGTTCTCGTGTTTTTTGTAATTAGGTAGTAGATAGTAACTTTTCCTTAACTCTTATAATTTTCATCATATTACTATTGTACAATTTTGCCATGCATCTCAAGTTCATTACTAGACATATTTTATAATTTTGTCAAAAAAATATTACTTCAAATTAAATTCATAAGACGAAAACTACTATGATTACCAAATTAATTACTAATTAACCAAAGAAATAAGAAATTGTGAAAAAAAAAGAGAGAAATTAAAGGATGTCTTTATGTTTGCTAAACATACATACATTTCCACAATTTTTTTTTATTTGTTAATGTAAATATTTTTTATTGATCTTGATTAATTGTATTTTTTCAAATGCAAATACAGCTTCAACATCAACGTTTACTAGGTTTTTCCCCAACGTGAAGAGGAGGTACGATTATGGCGTGCTCATATTTATACTCACCTTCACAATGGTCGCAGTCTCAGGTTTTCGGGTCAGCGAGATCCTGCAGCTGGCCCACCAGAGGCTCTCGACTATTGTCATAGGTGGTGCGACTTGTATGGTCATATCCATATTCGTTTACCCAGTTTGGGCAGGTCAAGACCTACATAATCTGGTGGCCGGTAATATTGAAAAGCTCGCCGCCTTCTTGGAAGGTGCGTATTTATCATTAAGCGGATTGTGATATTATTTAACAAGAAGGCTTAATCATACTAATGGAAATATCATACTTTTATTTATATATCGGAAAAGATAAAATTGTCCAATTGTATTATATATTTTTTTAATTTTATTTGTTTATTTCCCTTTTTATAATAGGTTTTGGGAGTGAAGTTTTACTTGGTCTAGGGGATGAAAATAGCAAGGCTTTTTCTAAGAGTGATCATGACAAATCATTTTTGGAGAGCTATAAAAGCGTGCTAAATTCCAAGGCCAACGAGGAATCATTGGTGATTATTATAATTTTCCTTACATAATAGTATTATATGTGGAGTATAAATTTATAATAATAGTAATTTGCATATTTAGTTTTTTTTTTTTTAATTTAATTTACTTTGGTTGATTTTCAGGCAAATTTTGCTTGGTGGGAGCCGCCTCATGGTAAATTCAAATTTGGTCACCCATGGAAACAATATGTGAAGATTGGGGCTCTTGTTAGGGAGTGTGCTTGTTTAATTGAGACTCTCAAAAGTTATAATTATATTAACTCCAAATCTCAGGCGAGGGTAGGTATTTATTAAATTTTGAATTTTTAGGAAAAATGGAAAAACAATCTTTGAGTTTGGAAAATTAGTATGATAATCAAAATTTTCAATATAAATTTAAAATTTGAAATGAATCATTATTACATGTTTAACTACAAAGTATATTATACTCACGTATTAGTAACCAATTATTATTTGAATATTTAACTATCACATTACAATTTAACTATCGTATTAAAATAATAGTTATTTCTCCTAATCCTATGTTTCTTTTCTATTAGTGAAAAAAGTCCACTTAAATAGAAGTATATCCAACCGATCCTCCTGTTTCAATATAAGTCATTAGATTTCTTAGTTTGATATCAACCTTAGATTTAGTTAAGAAATGTTGAGGTGACAAATTTTTTATTAAAAATTTGTTTAGAGAACTTATTCTATTACGGAACTTATTTTTCTTTACTTCTAGATTTTAAATCTGTACACATTTACCCCTTCAGACACCCTCATCGGAACTCCAAATGCGCATCCAAAAATCGATCGCCGCCATCAGCACCGAGTCCGGCAAGGCCCTCCGATCACTCTCCGCCGCAATGACCCAATCCACGCGCCCGTCCCCCGCCGTTAAAGCCCACGCCCAAAACTACCGAGCGGCGGCCCGCGACCTCAAGGCGGCCCTCGACGGGCAGCCTGATTCGAAACCGGGCGGCGACCTCTACCAGCTCATGCCGCTGCTCGTGGTCGCTTCCGTTCTGATCGACGTCTCGGATTTCACGGACGAGATCGCGCTCGCTGCCGGCGAGCTCTCCGAAAAGGCTCGTTTTGGGGATCAGAAATCTCACGCGCCGCCGGAAAAGCCACAGGTTCTCCACCGTGGGGTCGTGAGCCCCGTCGACGACGATTGCGGCGGCGGAGGGGTGTCGCCGGAAAAGGGGGGCCGTCGGCTGCTGGAGTGAAGGGGAGAGTGGGAAGGGGGAGTGGATTTTTAATATTATTTATTTATTTATTTATAATTAATTGATTAGTATAAATGTGTGAGAAAAATAAATTAAATTAATGGCACCTATATGAGACTGATACTATTGGTTGTTGTGCATTGGTCGATGACGTATGGGTGACGGTGTGTATGTAATAAAATGTATGATTGTTGAGATATAACTGTCAACTTGTTAAATTTTTCTTTAATAAAATGTATGATGATTGTACTATGGAATGGCAATTTTATTTACGTTATTTTTTAAGAAATGACATCTCCTAATTTCATTGTTAGAATGAGTACGTGTTAACAACAAATGAGTATTTATTAACAAGATATGTTTGTATAATGAGCATTATATATGTTGTTTGATAATTATTGTTTTGACAAAGCAAAATTAGAGATTTGAGGTGTAGGTTTGACCCGTCATAACCTATGATTTAACTGTTTTTTAAGTGGCTACTTGAAATAGTTTTTAAAATCCAAAATACTAAAATTACTTTCGAAATGTACAATATACAGTAGTTAATTATTTATAAAATACTTTTCCAATTTAATTAGTTAGTCGAACATGTTAATTCAATTAGTTTATTACCAATTAATTCAATCAGTTATCAGTTATTCACTAGCTACCTAACAAGGCCTATAAACTGGATAATATTTTGCCAATTTATTCATATTATTTTTGTATATATATTTGCTAATTTAATTATGAAAATATCAAATTTAGATGACTATAATTCACCAATTAAAATAGCAAAAACTAGTCTGTATGCTGACTCTTGGGCTTAACTAGGAGATTAGGCACAATTTGTTTGAATGAAAAAAAAAAAAAAATATTATCAATAAGCAATAATAACATGAGCTTCTGAACAAAATTTTCACAAGCCAATATACTAGCTTGTTCCCGATCTAGTCTTTATATAGACAAGATCATGATATGCTTCTCATACTCAAATAAGAGCTTAAGCTATGATCAATTGGTTTAATGAAAGGATTACAAGTCAAATGAATAACTAATAAATAGTTTCGCTTATTTAAAAATTTATTAAGAGCTTAAGCTAAGCTTCATTTGCTTAATAAATTATAAATTATTTAAAAAGTTTTAATTGTATTTCTATTATCGCCCCTAACGAATAATTGTGTATTTTATTTTAATATTTTTTTCTTAATGTAAGAGTAATAATTAAACTATGAATATGTTAAATTGGGAACCCTTTGGAAGTTCTGAGAAAGATCCAGGGAGAGGCTTTCGGCGGATTTTATAATTCGAAGTCAAAAGTGAAAATAAGTAAGTGCACTGCTTTATGTGATATTTTTACTAATAAAATTTTATATCATAAAGTAAAAAGTTAGAACCATGTGTAAGTCATCAAATTAAATTAATTATGTAATTTAAGGCTTTTTATTACTACTACGTGGCAAGCATCGCGGATCTTAGTACGTTAAAAGCTCTTGTTGCCGTTGATGACTCAAGATTCAAGATATTATTAGTTAAATGTTAATTAGTTATTATTCCTATAAAATTTCATGATTGAGATAATAATATAATTGTACATATATAAAATATTATCTTTTGTCTTCCTATTACATATGACATGCAGTTGCGAAAGCCCACGCAGAAGATCACTTCGAATAAACTTCAATGGTCTCTTTTTGTTTGTGCCGCAATTTGGTTGTACATATATAAAATATTTTGTATTTATAAGGATTTTTCTGCACTTTTTTCATATTAAAACAATTTATTTATTTTTAATTTCAGCTGCATTAAAAGTTAATTAAGGTGTATATGTTCACACATTTGATCACATGATTATTATTCTTGCATTTTTTTGAGTTAAACGTTTATACTATCGTTATCTTTAGTTTTAGTTTTCAATTCAATATTTATCCTTATTTTATTCAAAATAATAATGATAATAATAATAATAATAATAATTCTATTGTTCTATATGTGCATATATTATATCAAATTAATCTCATTTCAATAGTTTTTTGTTGACACCAACATTTCATGTATAAAAACAAAAAATTATTGTTATTTAATATAAAATAAATCGATCTATTAATATCAATTTAAAAATAATGAAACATCTTAAAGTTTCCATAAAATAAATTACAAATACATATTAAGTAAACAATTAGTATAAAATAATAAATATTCTTATATATGTTTAAAACAATTAGTATTATAATGTTTTGTACACTGTTCTAAAAATCGGCCTAGGCGGCCGCCTCCGATTTGCATAAATCGGCCGAAAAAATCAGCCAGGCAGCTAGGCGGCCCTAGGCGCTCCTAGGCGGACTTATGCGGACTTAGGCACTCCTAGGCGGGCTCGGCGGCAATTTTTTAGATTTTTTTTTTTTTTTTTAAATACTAATTACATTATTTTGTTCTTATGTTTTCTGTAAAATATATTAATATTAGTATTTGGACTTAGGTGTGTGGATTTATTATAAGTTGGGATAGTTTTATTTTGTAGGTAGTTAAAATAAATAAAAAATAAAGTATTTAATCTTGATTTCTAAGCCCCGCATAAGCACTTTAGGCGCTAAGCGCTGGTAGAGCGTCTAACAGACGTTTAGCGACCTTTAAAACACTGGTTTTGTATATACAATAATTTAGTTCTTCAAGTATAAAAAATAGAATAGCTAGTGAGACCATCGCCTAGCAGACGTCTAGGGACCTTTAAAACACTGGTTTTATATATACAATAATTTAGTTCTTCAAGTATAAAAAATAGAATAACTAGTGAACATTTGCCGAGTCACTCTAATAATAATAATAATAATATTTATAACATTTATTTTACTAAATTATAAAAATTAATCGATTAATTTTAAATACCGTTATATAAAAAATCATAAAATTTTTAAATTATAAAGTTAAATTAATTAATTAATATTGTAAATAAGTTGTTAAATTTCTTAAACCTTCGAATAATAGAAATATAACATGACAAAAAAAATAATAACTAAAATAAATGCTAAATAAGATTTTTATTTTAATTATTTATATCAATGTGAAATAATCAACGTGATAATAACATTATACAAATAAACACATAATAGACACAAGATATGATATGATTTATGGCCTTTGAGAAATTATTAGTTGGATCCGTGGAATGTACCATGTCTTTTATCTTTCNGAAATTTTACGACTAAAAATTTAAAATTTCCACCATATAAATTTTTACTTTTCTTTTTCTAAACTTTTATTATTTCATTTTTTTTTTTTATAGATTATCAACTTATAGTCATTACATTTAAGTTAATTAGCTTTGCAAAGGGATTTAGATAATCTGATAAAAATGCTATCTTCTTTAACCATTTCTATTACTACACATTATTCAAATTAAAATTCATGATTAATCTTTTTGAAACCATGGCTAGATTAATTTAGGCCTTCAATTAAATAAATTGCCTGTTCCAAAATTATAAAACCATTTCTATTATTATATATTATTCGGATTGATGACATGTCATTTAATTAGTCGATTGCAATTATTAAATGACAAATATTAGGTTGTGATTTATTCCTTTTGTGTTGCCTTTATTCCTCCTTTTGAGCGGACGGAAAAGAGAGTCTTGGTAGTCTGGTACTGTAAAAACAAAAGAAAAGAGGAGTCATTGCTAAGCTACACATCCCACATCGAAAATAGAACAAAAACCATTCAGCTATTTAAATGACAACACTAACCATCTACAGCACGACCTTACTTGAACAGGATCTGTTCTATAGGCTCGTACCTCTTTATCCTTGAGATAGAAAGAGACAATTTACCCAAGTCTGGTGGATGAACCATGGCTGCTCGGCTAGAGCGTGATTAACAGAACCTTTGTGGTTTGGTCTCAAGCCCTCTGGTTCAGTAGAGGATCGTTCTTGGCTAGTCCCAGTCAAGGTGGCCTTGCAGCGTTCTGACAGACTATTTCAATTTTTTTATTTTTTTATATTTTTCTTTTCACTACGACGTCGTTCCATAATTGCCCAAATTTCGAAGCAGTTTTAGGGCCCACTAACCCGGGCACTATGGTGAGTGGTGAGTAGATAGTTAAAAATCTTTTTTTATTTATTTCCTTTTACTAGGACGTTGTTCGCAGAGACCGGGTAATGACCCAGTATTCTAAGCGGTTTTAGGGCCCATCAAGTGGCCCAGTAACCCGGGCACTATGGTGACATTGGTGAGTGGTGAGTAGAAGACGGTAGCAATTAGCAAAACTTGGTATAGGTATAGATACCAATATTTCTTAAAGTTGATAATTCATACAATTAATATTTTATCTAGATAAAAAAACGTCACAATAATGTAATGCGCAATTTTTTCATGTGAGAAAAATCATGTTTATTTTCAATTACTATTTATAATATATAGTGGGCAATTTTATGTAATATTCATATGAATTTCTATATATGGATGCCAAAAAATGTAATTTATTAACAACTTCGATATGTTTTTTTCTTCTTGAATAACAACGTAGCGAGTTGAAACATGTATTCAATATATTTTTTCGAGGCGAAAGTATCATGTTTATAAACCCATAATTAACGATAACTACCATTAAGGTACAACGACTTTGAATACTTTGAGTTGTTATATAGTGGTGTTCAATTTTTTTTCTTTTTTTGGGCGAACTTATAGGATGCTTCTCCAAAAAATTTCAACCGTTTATTCAATTTTAACTCAAGTTCAATATACAACAACAACAACATATCCAGTATATTTCCAATAAGTTGGGATCTGGGGGGTCAGTTGTACGCATACGTTACCCTTGTAATTATACAAGGAGACTGTTTCCGTAGCGATCCAAGGTGCATTGCGCCGTTTGATATATATATATATTTTTTCAATATAATTAAATAATACCACACAATCATTCTTACACATTTACAAATTCCATTGACTTTAATTCACTATTCATTCACTCACATAATTTTAACGAACTATCACTTCACATCATTTATCTCTTACTTTTACA